GGCCGGGGGCCCTTGCAGGTGCCTGTCCAAAGATATGAGGGAGGAGAGAAGAAGTGACCCCTACGTTAATATGTTCTGGAAATCATTACATAGGAAGATAAGGATAAACCAGCAAATAATTTAACTATGGGGGGGGGGGGATTGCGACTTGAGCACAGTCTCTTCACTCAGGAGACTTTCCTGGCTCGCAGCTGCACACCTGTCTGTGAGCCCCGCTTCCCACATACTTCAGTTTGATGTCCCGGACTGATGACGGACATTTCTTTCCATGCCGTCCTATTAATAATATCTCCTAACTCCCAGGACTTACACGGTCTGCAGCAAACCTCGACAAGCAGATGAGAAATACGGTGGCTTTGGGGCCAATATGCTGAGCTTTTAAGAAATGCTTCTTGGAAGGTTCTGTGCTCTGAGGTCTGTTTGTAGTTACGGAGACGGTTCTTCCCCATTCTGAAATTCTCCCATCTCTTACCTTTGTTCTCTTTTGTGATTAACGGCGTTTATAATGAAAAACTGGTGTTATGGCTGTAATGAGAGTCCTATGGCCTGCCCAGCCGCGACCACGAGGTGCTCAGCACCGTGTCTGGGCCACATGTTTGCACCTCTTCTACTAGGCCCATAGTTATGTCTGTGGTCTTTCTAACACAAAAAGGGGCAATTTCTCTCCCCTCCTGAAAATAGTTCTTGAAACAACACTGAACCTGAATGGTTCAATTAAGCACCTGCCTTTGGCTCGGGTCACGGTTCTGGGGTCCTGGAATAGAGCCCCACGCTGGGCTCCCCCATCAGCTGGGGAGTCTTCTTCTCCCCCTCCCTCCACCTCTCCTCCCTCCTGTCCCCCAACTCGTGGTCTCTCTCTCTCTCAAATAAATAAATAAATAAATAAATAAATAAATAAATAAATAAAATCTTAAAAAAAGAAAGAATTCCTATCATTTTGCTCCTTAAAACTCATCGGGTTTAAATTCCACTAATACCATAGCTTAGGGGTATGGAACTTAGGGCCACCTTGCAGGTGCCTGTCCAAAGATATGAGGGAGGAGAGAAGAAGTGACCCCTATGTTAATATGTTCTAGAAATCATTACATAGGAAAATAAGGATAAACCAGTAAATAATTTAACTATTTGCTTCAGGGGATTCCTACAAACTGATTTATCTAAGAAAATAGTTTGCTTATCTGGGGAAACAGCTCTCCTATCAGGAAACAGATTGCTCACCTATGGAAAAAAAGCTTACTGGTCAGGCAACAACTTGCTCATCAAAACCCTGACCTTGCTGTGTCCACCGATCCTGAACTATTATGGCATAGACTCCGCCCACCGTAAATTGGTTCCCTGTATTGAAAACCACCCCTCTACCATTTGAACCCCAAACCCAACCCAAATCCTATAAACAGCCTTCCTTGGTATCCTCCTTCTGAGACGCTAGGTATTCTGTTAAGGTAGTGTTTTTTCTTTGCCATACTAAATCTGATAGAATTAGCTTTTAAGGAGTTGACAATCAACAGAAGGAAGAAAAATAAGATTCACTGAGTGTTGGTGTAGGTGCTCATTATGTGTCAAACCCTTTATGTGTTACCGTATACTTCCTTTGTTGATTTGTGTAGAGCACATATCAATCAGTGCTTTGTTATGCTATGACTCGGGCCAGAAAAGGTGTCACAAGCCTTATTTCTTGTTATTTATTGTAAATACTGAGATTCCTAATAAAAAGCAGTGTATGCCTGAAGCCTTCTTTATTATGGAAGGGGTGAAGCATGGTGAGACCATAAGGTTTTAAACAAGCCGCCACTCCTCAGCCCCCATGAGCATCTCCATGTTCCCCTGCAAATGTCCTGTGAGCCGAAGTGGGCCTGGAAAATTCCTCCTTTCCACCCTCCCCTTCTGCCCAGCACCCACTTCCTGAGGGCAGCTTCCGTGGCCACTACCTGTGTTCGTGCAGCCAATATAATGCCGCAATTCTTCACTCAGGTCCGGTGCTATGGGTTGAAATTTGTCGCCCCTAAAAAGATGTGCTGAATGTCTAGCCACCACCACTGCCACCCCCCTCCCCATACCTCTGAATATGACCTTAATGGAAATAGGATCTTTACAGGGCTAATTAATTATGAGGATAACAAATCCAATAGGATCAGGGTCCTTATAAGAATGGGGAGTTTGGATACCAGAGGCAGACACACAGTGGGGAAGAGAGGCAAAGAGACACAGAGAGAAGAAGGCCGTGTACCGGGAGTGACATGTCTATAGGGGGATGCCAAAGATCACTGACAGACACCAGAATCCAGAAAAGGTAAAGAAGGATCCTCTTCTAGAGGTGGCGGGGCGGGTGGTGGCCCCACTCACTTTGTGATTTCAGACTTCTAATCTCCAGACTTCAACACATTTCTGTTGTTTCCAGCCACGCACTTTTTGGGACTTTGTTACTGCAGCCCTAGGAAAGGATGCACCCCAAGTGAGCTTTTTTAAAGGAAAGGATGATTACACAATACATGTCATTACTCTTTATCGTATGTGCAATTCACCTAAAACTGTTGCTTGTTTTAACTGTTACTTCGGGGGCAACGTTGATGGATAAAAGGAACTAAATGCTGGGTTTCTAGTTACCTAGATGGACTTTTTACATTAATTCTTGTAGAAGGAATTTCCGCTTGTAACTCTTTGAAATAGACTATCTCTTCCTGAAACATGACTTGGAGGTCTAACATAGACACCTGGGTACTTTTCGCATGGGAATTATATTGTTGAACTGCTTATCAATAAATTTTTCTGAAGATAGGCAAGTAAGCCCACGAGGTCACTTAACTAATAAATGATGATGTCAGTCGTGCCAACTAACTGTCATTTTATTTTATTTTTTATTTATTGATTTTTTTTAGAGATGGGGGAGAGAAGATCTTACGCGGGCTGAATCTCACCACCCTGAGATCATGAGCTAAGCTGAAATCAAGAGTGAGATGCTTAACTGACTGAGCCACTCGGGGGGGGGGGGGCTCACATTTTTTTTTAGAGAGTGGGGGACCTAACTGCCATTTTAAAACAAAGTCCACCTTTCGGCTCCACAAATTCATTATTATAGGAATTAATTAATCACATGGGTCAACTCACAGTAAGGGGTCATCCCGAGATCAATGCCCAAGGTGACGAAAGAGAAGGGCTGCTTTGGAAAAATAAATGTTGGGATCCCTGGGTGGCGCAGCAGTTTAGTGCCTGCCTTTGGCCCAGGGCACGATCCTGGAGACCCGGATCAAATCCCACGTCGGGCTCCCTGCATGGAGCCTGCTTCTCCCTCTGCCTGTGTCTCTGCCTCTCTCTCTCTCTCTCTGTGACTATCATGAATAAATAAATAAAATCTTTAAAAAAAAAAAAGAAAAATAAATGTCAAGTGGTCAAAATCTTTTTTCCAACCTTTCAAAGATAGTGCATTTAATATTTAATCTAGAAAGATTTAGATTCCAATCTTAGGTGTCAGACCCTGTAGTGGCCCATTTCATAGATAATGACTTTAGGTAATTTCATAATTACTTTAATCCTCATACCAACCAAAAAAATGTATCACTATGCATTAAGATTATAAGGGGTTTATGTGAAAACAACACAAATTAAACCTTGCTGATAAGCAGGGCCCTTCAGTTTCCTCTACTGTTCCTTCATTCACTGCTAGAGATGGATTTGCCAAGATGGTCGTTGATGGGAGTTTCCTTTAGCACCTTTCATTGATCTAACTCAGTGGTGCTCCAGCTTTGATGCAGGGGAAGAATTGCCATACAGGGCCCCCCACGCACACTGGTCTTTGTGAGTCATGGAAAAGATTTTCAAAGATTAATTACATGTACTTATTGCCCTTGTGCTAACTCCTGGTTTAATAGGAAATTCCATAGCTGGTGCTATGATTCAGCTCCAGATTTTGCATTGAACTTCCCGTACCCAGTATAACAAAGGCAGTGTGACCACAACGCATTCTAGACTAGCGTCTCTAAAGGTTGCCCTGAGGAGGTCAGAAGGGGAGCTAGTACGGACTCATTGGTAGAAGTCCTTGTTTATACACTTCACTAAGTTTCTAAACCATTTGATCAGGAGACTGCTTTTGTTGATCAGAATTTTTGCAGTCGTTGAAAGAGGCTCTCACGATATCTTTATTTTTTATTTTTATTTTTTTAGTCAAATATTTTATTAAAGGTCTTCACAGAGTAAAATCCAGCCTCCAGATCCAACTGCCAATGAGACCCTATTTATGTTTAAAACCAAAGGTGGTGTGTGGGCTGTATGATCATGAGGTGAATTCATCGTGGACTGGAGGGCCCCAGCTAACTGGCAATCAGCTCCACTTTATAAAGAGTTCAGGGGCAGCAAGTTGAAAGAGTCTATCCTGACTTTCTTTCTTTCTTTCTTTTTTTTTTTTTTAAGATTTTATGTATTTATTCATGAGGCACACAAGGAGAGACAGAGACACAGGCAGAGGGAGAAGCAGGCTCCCTGCAAGGGGCCTAATGTGGGTGGGACTTGATCCCAGGACCCTGGGATCACGACCTGAGCCCAAGGGAGGTGATCAACTCCTGAGCACCCCCAGGCATCCCTATCCTGACTTTCATGTGAAAATACTTAATGGAGATTTATATGGACTTAAGAACAGCATACATTTGTCTCATCCACATGCAGATAGTGTGATTCTTGGAGGGATAACTGATGCCCTGGATGATAGAATTGAGATCTGAAAAGGACCCAATACACTAGAAATACAAATCAGATCAAATGCCATAAGATACTATTAATAAAAATAGATCCTGCTCTGTGATCCCTAGAGCAAATGTATAAGGAAAGGAGGAAGAAAGAAAAGATTTGTGGTCTTTAGTGGGGTGAATCAGGAGCAGGAAGTGCACAGGACAGATCGCAAACTTGAGCTGCCCTCAGTAATAACCCAGAACAATGGAGATAATCATGTGACTTATCTGGCTTGGCTCAGGCCACCCCTTTACTAGTCATGACATTTGCGGCAACAAAGACTAATAAGCAACACTGATCAACTGAAGCAGGTCCAGAGAAGCAAGCCGAAAGGTGAGAACTTGAAATCAGGCCCCACGATGGCGATACTTCATGTGGGTGAGAGGAGACTCTGAGGAGATATGACAGCTGTCTTCAAGTATTTGTATGGCTGTCACCAAGAAGCAGCTAAATGTGCATAGTTCCACGGGGCAGAACCAGAGGCCATAGGGACGAGTTATGAGGAAGCAGATTCTGGCTCAAAACAAAAAAGAGCATTCTAGAGCCACCAAAATGAGAACAAAGATGTTCAAGGAAGGACGAGCAGCTCCTGGTTGAAGAAATCTGGCCATTACTTCCTTTTTTAGTTTTTTTAAAGATTTTATTTATTTATCTATGAGAGACACAAAGAGAGAGGCAGAGACACAGGCAGAGGGAGAAGCAGGCTCCCTGCAGGGAGCCCGACGTGGGGCTCGATCCCGGATCCTGGGATCATGACCTGAGCCACCCAGGTGCCCCAAATTTTTCTGTATTGAACCAGTAAGTATCCTTCTGAGTACTCACTGTGTAGACAGTAATGTGTTAAAACTAAATACACTATGTGGGGCACCTGGGGGGGCTCAGTCAGTTAAGCATCTGCCTTCAGCTCAGGGCATGAGCCTGGGGTTTTGGGATCGAGCCCTGCATCGGGCTCCCTGCTCAACAGGGAGTCTCCCTCTCCCTCTGCCCCTCCCCTCCTGCTCTCTCTCTCTCTCAAATGAATAAATAAAATCTTAAAAAACAAAAACAACAAAACAAGATAAAAACCGAAGCACGCTGTGTATATGTATACACCATGCAAACTCTACATGTGTGTCAAGAGTTCAACAGCACAGCGGAATCTCACTACGATGCTGTTGTAAGGAAAGGTGATCTCTTTTGTGAAGGAATTTTATGTGGCAATTCTAATACAACTTTGCAACTTATAGCCTTTTGTACCTGGATCCATATTTGTTCCAAATGCTCACTGCTCGTGACCTACCAGGGTGCATGTTCCTTGGTCCGGGACCAGGCCCAGAGGGTTTTGGGCATTTCCAACAGATCTCACACATTTAAGTCAACACATGGAGAGAGAGGGAACACCACACAGAAGCCACCAGGCAGGGTGTCCCAGGGAAGCAGGGGGCCCCAAGCTGGGGGACATCTGTGGTCATTGCCCCTGCTTTGGTATGCGAGGAAGACTTCTGAGAGGACAAATCTCAACCCCAGCTCTTTAGATGGAAACTGCCCCCTGCCCTGTGCTGAAGAGCTTCCTCCAAGGACAGCGTCTGTATTTCCGTTCAGTTGGACTAGCACGATCCTGGGCAGCTGGGGATCAAGAACCCCTCCTCAGAGGTCTCCAGCATAACCTCGGGGACATGGGCCCAGGAGCCAGTGTTTGCAGTAGCATCTCCATGAGATCACAGAGGAACCCCACAGGGATGCCAGGGTCAGCAGTGGAACCAGGAGGGAGCAGGTCTGATAGAATGGAACCAAGGCCAAGGCCAAGTGCAACCACAAGTGGAGGCAGACACCACGCGGGCCCCAGGGGAGCTCCCAGGGCAGCACCGCAAGAGGAAGGTGGGTGAAGTCGTCCCGGGGCTTCGGGCTTGCAGTGCCAGGAGCACTGCTCAGCGGGAGTGCGCTTCCCAGGCACCATTTGGAGGAGGCACAAGAGCCACAACCCGCTGAGATGGGAGACAACCGCTGGAAACACGGCTGGGGAGCCTGGTGCACATTCCAGGGGCGCTGCCGGTGGGTCCGAGCTGGGAGAAGCCGCCTTGTAAGGCGGGGCTGAGATCCCCCGGCGGCAGCAACACCAGGTCGTCCCTGGAAACTAGGACATTGCGATCAGGCCCCTTGGTGAGTCCTTTTCAGACTGTGAGCTGCAACCCATGAAGTACACTTAGTGGGCCTCTGACGGCATCCTCAAGATGAGAAACAGAATAAAATAAAGTCGACTAGAAGGAAAATATCAGAGCACGTTGCCTATAGTACAGATCATGTGCAGCTTGAGAGACAGAGAGGGAGGGAGGGAGCCTTTGATGTAGAATACATGTCTTACTGAGGGTCAGAAATGCTTGAAAGCCACTGATGAAGAGGCTCACTGCCCAGATAAATACTTCATTTGAATAATAGAGTCTTCAGAACATTTCGTATCCTGTTTCATTTCTATGATTAAACTAACAGGAAGCGAAGTGACTCAGGGCATCGACCAATATTAATTAAACAAATGTGTCCTGATTTTGGAATGACATGTTCTGGTTTCCCATTGCTCTTTTGGCTCACACAAGCGTTCATACTTTATCCAGTGAAAGAATTGTTTGTTCTTTTGCTGCTCTTATTTCCTTCTTTCTCATCGATAGTAATTTATATTCTGGAACATTCTTTAGTTCCACTTCCATAGTTCTGATCATTGGTTCCAACATTCTCCCTTTCAATCTGATACAAATTATCTGGGCTTTTTTTAAAATCTATTTATTTTTAAGATTATTTATATATTTTAGGAAGACAGAGAGAGGGTAAGCAGGAGGAGGGGCAGAGGGAGAGGGAGAAGGAAGGGAAAAGAATCTCAAGCAGAGCATAGAGTCTGATGTGAGGCTTGATCCCAAGGCCCTGAGATAGTGACATGAGCCGAAATCAAGAGCTCAACCGATTGAGCCACCAGGAACCCCTTGTTTTATGTTTTAATTAGACTATCTCTTTTCTTGAAACATTCAAGAGCCATGGTAGTGCTCCTCCTCTTTTTCACTTGGGCAGGGTAAGGACCTTGCCTTATTTTTCTCGGTTTTACCAAGTGCTTGTTGAAGATATCAAGCAGGAACATAGATTCCGAAACCCACCGACCGATGCTGGTTGTAGAGGGGGATCAATGCGGCTGAAGAGGCAAATGGAAAGTTCTGATTGAATACACATGGCTTTTAGAGAATTATCCACATGCATTGAAATGATCAGAGCACTGATTATTTATAATCAGAGTCATGCTACAAAACGAAGAGATCTCAAGGATTCTCCTAGTTGACCTGTCTCTGATTTGCAAGCAGCTCTGGGTATCCCTGGTTGGGTGATGCCACCAACCCCAACATAGTCTCAGGTCTTTGCAGCCTTACTGTGACCAATAAATGAGGCTCTTAATAAGAACTGAAATTATTTCTTTTTTTTTTAATTTATTTATTTATGATAGTCACACACAGAGAGAGAGAGGCAGAGACACAGGCAGAGGGAGAAGCAGGCTCCATGCACCGGGAGCCCGATATGGGATTCGATCCTGGGTCTCCAGGATCGCGCCCTGAGCCAAAGGCAGGCGCCAAACCGCTGCGCCACCCAGGGATCCCAGAACTGAAATTATTTCTGATTAAAATATATATATATATTTCGGGTACCTGGATGGCTCAGTGGTTGAGCATCTGCCTTCGTCTCAGGTCGTGACCTTGGAGTCCTGGGATGGAGTTCTCCATTGGGCTCCCTGCAGGGACCCTGCTTCTCCCTCTGTCTGTGTCTCTTATGAAAAAATAAATAAAATCTTAAAAAGAAAAAAAATATATCAGCCCCGGACTGTGAACTTTTATTGGAACACAAGACTCACCGGTCTCTAACCTTCCTGTGGTGTCAGCCTCTGAACCCCACTAATGCTTTCATCTGCTGCTTTGGCTCCTGCTACGGATGGAAGATTCATGTCCCCTCAAAACTTAGCTGTTGAAAACTAATCCCCAATGTGATGACATCTGGAAATGGGTGCTTAGGAGGTGACGAGGACATAAGGGTAGAGCCCTCGTGAATGGGATGACCGCCCTTGTAAAGAGACCTTAGAGCGTTTGCTGAACCCTTGAGCCATATGAGGACGCAAGCAGGAGACACAGCCATCTGCAATCAGGAAGTGCCCCCCCCCCCCCCGCCCAGACTTCCAGCCTCCAGAGCAGTGAGAAATAAATCTCTGTTGTTTATAAGCCACCCAGTGTGTGGCATTCCGCTATGGCAGCCTGAACCGAGGGGGCCAGCCCTCGTCCCCACTCACTGAGCTTCAGCTTATCTTGCCCGAACCCGGCTCTGACCCTCTATGGTTCTTCTGTTGTTAGCGTCAGCGTCGCCAGGGATTGTGGCAGGTCCCCATCTCTGCCACCTTGTAGGTAAATTTTGTCTCTGCCGTGCGCCTCCTTCCTACCACCCAGTGGATTTTGTCTTTGGCTTCTCTTGGCTCTGTCCCAGCCCATCACTGGGAGATCTGCTCAGTGACTTGTCTTGCCTGCTCCCCGCCACGATCAGCGCTGGTCAACGGGCATTTGGTATTATGAGGTAAGAAAATTCTGGTAATAGTAATTGCAAGGTTGGCTGTTCTCATTCTGCAAGTCAGTTTGGGATTTTGTTTTGTTTTGTTTTTCCTGGCATTTGGAACCAAAAGCATCTTGACTGACAACATGTTGATTCCCACTCTGCCACCCATTAGCTGTGGAACGCATGGCTTAATCCTTCTCGTCCTCAGTTTCTCACTCTGAAGAGTGAGGGAGTCGTATTCAGTTGTTTCCAAAGTCTTCCTCCATATCAGAGTTTTCCAAGCATGTTTTTTTTTTATTGGAGTTAAGAGGAAGCCCGGCCTCTGGGTGGAGCAGCTGGTTATTAGTGTCTGCTCTTGGTTTTGGCTCAGGTTGTGATCTCACGGTCATGAGATCAAGCCCCACATTGGGCTCCACGCTCAGCAAGGAGTCTACTTAAGACTTTCTCTCCCTCTGCCCCTCCCCACAGCGCACCTGTGCTCTCTCTCTAAAAAAAAAAAAAAAAAAATAGAATCTTGGGGATCCCTGGGTGGCTCAGCAGTTTAGCGCCTGCCTTTGGCCCAGGGTATGATCCTGGAGTCCTGGGATCAAGTCCCACGTCAGGCTCCCTGCCTGGAGCCTGCTTCTCCCTCCTCCTGTGTCTCTGCCTCTCTCTCTCTCTCTCTCCCTCTCTCTCTCTCTCTCTATCATAAATAAATCTTTAAAAAAATAAAATAAAAAATAAAAATAAATAGAATCTTTAAAAAAATAAAGAAGCAAAGCAACCAAAATATTTTAAAGATGTTATTTATTATTTGAGTGAGAGAGAGAAAAAAAGAGAGAGCACGAGTGGGGCAGGGAGGGAGTGACAGAGGGAGAAGGAATAGCAGCCCCGACGTGGGGCTCTCTTCCAGGACCCTGAGATCATGACTGGAGCTGAAGGCAGATGCTTCACTGACTGAGCCCCCCAAGTCCCCCAAAGCAACCAGAAGACTAAAAGTCCAGAATCAGAGACCATCAAAAAGATAAAAATCCATGAACGGGCAACATTTTTTTTGCAAATTATATATCTAATAAAGGGCTTATATATCTAGAACACATAAAGAGCTCTTACAACCCAATAATAAAAAGATAAACAACCCAATTAAAAAAATTGTCAAAGGATCCGAAGAGACATTTCTCCAAACAAGACACACAAATGGTTAAGAAGCAGATGAAAAGATTCTCAACATTATCAGCCATCGAGGAAATTCAAATCAAAACCACAATGAGATACACCACACATCCATTAGGAGGCCTAGCATCAAAAAGGCAGATGATAAAAAGGACAGCAAGGACGTGGGGGGTCTTGGAAGCCTCCTATACTGCTGATGGGAATGCAAAATAGTGCTGCTCTTACGAAAAATAGTCTGTCCAGGGGTACCCAGGTGGCTCAGCAGTTGAGCGTCTGCCTTCGGCTCAGGGCGTGACCCCGGGGTCCCGGGATCGAGTCCCACATCGGGCTCCCCGAATGGAGCCTGCTTCTCCCTCTGCCTGTGTCTCTGCCTCTCTCTGTGTGTCTCTCATGAATAAATAAATAACATCTTTTTTTAAAAAAAAAAGGAAAAGAAAAATCATCTGTCTGTTCTTCAGACAGAAAGCTTCAGAAAAGCTTCAGAAAAGCTCCAGAAGAGCTTCAACATAGACTTACCATATGACCCAGCGATTCCACTCCTAAGTATATATACTCAGGGGAAGTGAACACATGTGCCCCCACAAAAACTTGTACACAAATGTTCATAACAGCTTGAGGGTGGAAATAATCCAAGTGGCCATCGACTGATGAACAAAGTGTAGCGTGTCCATGTCATGGAATATTATTCAGCTATGAAAAGGAATGAAGTACTGACAATATGGATGGATCTGGAAAACATTATGCTAAGTGAAGTAGCAGCCGAGGGCTTGGCTTGACTCAGGTACCTCAGCCCTCGATGTCACATCCTCCTGACACATGTCCTTATTCCGTGCCCACAGGTTTGCATCTTGGTGGTTTAGGATTGGCCTTCACAGTGCTGTCTCCCCTTCCATTCCTTGCTCAGATTACTTCCTCAGTTTGCTCGTGTGGTGCCCTCCATCAGCAGAGACAAGCTTTCCACGAGGAACCAAGATTTCCACCCTGTGAGCTCTGAGAGGACAGCTGGCCATCCTCGGGGCAGATGCTTCAAGGAGCCACCAATCAAGGCTCCATTTCCTGAACTTTCCTAGGAAGTTGAGCCCTGAGTAGCTGTTCTCGGTAATAATAATAATAATTCATAGCCCATAGGAATCTGGGCCATACAAGCATTATTCCACGGGGTCTTTACAATGTTCCTCTTGGTATATCGTGGTGCTTAGTCTACAGGTGAGACTGAAGGCCCAGGATGTTGGAGTACCTGCCCGAGATGAGCTGGGCGGAGCGCGTCAGGGCAGTGCCCGAGCACAGAATCCTGCTCCGACCAGGGACGTGCATGCAAACTTCGTAAACATGTGCAAGGTGGGTGGTGGTTCAAATCGCCTGTGGGTATCACCTCGTAGCCTATACACCGTATGCCCTTGTTGGCTGAAAAATTCGTTAGCATGGTTTGTTCCAGGTGACGCTCGTACACTTAGGCTTCCATTTTCAAAGTCAATCTTACAGAATTCTGTTTTTATTCTCTCTCCTGCTCGGTAAAAAATGAAAGCTGATCTTTTCCCAGGAAAAAAAAAAAGTCACCTGAAATTCACTCTAGAAATATTTGCCTACAGTTGGTAGTTGAGGGTCTGTCGTTCTCTCGTTCTCTGCGGCCCCTACTTCTATTTTCTTGTGTTGAAGTTCCCAGTAAAGACCAGGAGTTTCCTCCTGAATATTTCTGCCCAGGGACATGACTGGGACGGAAATGGGACGAGAGTGGCCAGTCCGTGGGTAGGCCCGCCCTGTCTCTTTGTTCGGGCCCAGGCCATCCCCCTCGTCATTGTAAGTAGGACAGTGGGTGCCTTCGCCTGTCGCCTCATTCATGCTGAACTGGGCAGAACAAAACCGCTGCCTTTGACGGGGACGCGGTGCCTGGACACTGTGTGCTCCCGACTGTGCACATTTCCATTTGTTGTGCGTGGAAGTTCCTGCCAAGTCTTTCACACTCGCGGCCAATTAAACACAAATTCCTAATGTTTGCGGCTTCCACTTGCAATAATCTGATTTATCACAGGCCTCTCCTGACAAGTATTAGAATCAAGTCCAAACTGTGTCTTGCCGTCTGACAAGAGGAGTTCCTAAGCCCTTGCTCCTTCTCCACAGACCACACTGCCCACCTCTCCCTTCTAGAAGGCTGGGCTGTGGCCTCGACCAGGGCTTTCTCTGCTCAGTTACAGTTTCTCCTCCTTTCCTCCATGCAGCTCGTCTGTCGAGGGTGGAGAATGTGTGGATTCAGCACGAGGTTCCCCTGGAGACACGTGCATGTAAAAAAAGAATGACTATTTGGATGGAACGAGTCAAGCCGGTGAAGGTGGCGTGAGGATGCTTGACGGGTTGGTGGGGAGGTGGAGACCCGTGGAGTCTGAGCAGGGGCAGGAAGGCCGGTCGTCCATGGGACAGCCAGCCAGCTGTGTTCCTCTTCTTTTAAAATCTGTTGCTTTTCCAAAAGATCTCCTAATAAGGGGTAAGAATCCCAAATGTGAAAAATGTGAACCCATAGCAAAAAATGACCTTTCTTAAAATTTCCAAAATAAAGCTTTCCTTCCTCCGCCCTCCTCCTCTCTCTTCTTCTCCCCGTCCTCCTCTTCCTTTCCTTTTCTTCTTCCTCCTCCTCTTCCTCCTCCCCCTCCTCTTTTTCTTCAATAAAATGTTATTTCTGGATATGGTCAACATTTGAGGTATAAAGATAAATACTGTAAAATAGTATGCTAACGAGATGTTAACTAGATTTATCGTCATGATGGCTTTGCAATAAATCAAAATATCAGGTCATGATGTTATACACATGACACTAATACAACATTCTATGACAATTAGGCTTTAATATAAAAAAAAGTCTCACTGAGATTAAAATGCTAAACTACTTTTCTTAAAGCAGAAAGTACAAAAATATCATTTTTTTTAGAAGTCTTCATTTATTCATTCATTAGAGACACACAGAGAGAGGCAAAGACCCAGAGAGAGAAGCTGGCTCCATGCGGGGAGCCCAATGCAGGACTCGATCCCTGGTCTCCAGGACCACGCCCTGGGCTGAAGGCGGCGCTAAACCACCGAGCCACCCAGGGATCTCAAGAAATATCATTAAAAAATAATTTCACATTTGTCTTCAATTCACCTCTGAAGAAAGTTAAGATGAGTGTCTTGTGGGTGCTTCCAGAGCTATCCTACCTATGAACGTATTCTGACACGTTGGTTGGAGCCCCACAAAAATCAAACAAGATTTACAACCCAGGAAAAGGCCATCCTCATCGTGCCCAAGGAGAAAGAAGTGGTGGTTACGTAGATTGTGGGAGATGGTGAGGCTCCTGCCTAGATTTCCTGATCCACCTAGAATTCTCTCCGGAAGGACAGTCCTTATGATCTGTAGATCAAAAGACACAGTCCATCTCTGCTGAGATAGGACACAATAAAATAAAATCTATTCAGAATATTTCCTGTCTTAAATTGTGGGAAACAGACCAGTTGTGGATTTTCCGAGCAGCTTGTACGTGGGGTTCATCTTTGGTCCACAAACCTACATGGGTCAGTGAGTGTATGAGTCAGCGTCAGTCACCATAACAAAATAGCACAGGCCCGGTGACTTGAACAACAGACATTTATTTCCTACTTTTTCTTTAGGGAGTGGCAGGGTCGGTTTCCAGGGAGGCCTCTGTTTCCGGCTTGTAGATATCTGCCTTCTCCTTGTGGCCTTTCCCCAGTGTGCGGGCAGCAGAGAGAGAGAGAGCACGCGCGCGCGCGCACACTCTGACGTCTCTTCCTCTTCTTGTAAGGGCACGGTTCCTATCAGGTTTGGGCCCTACCCTTAAGATCTCATTTAATCTTAATTACTTCTTTAAAGGCTCTGTCTCCAAATATAGTCACATTGGAGGTCAGGGCTTCAGCAGATGAGTTTGGGTCCACAACAGTTCGTGGTGGTGATAACTATTTTAATGAGATAACAGCAGCGACTATTTACTTAGGTACCTGCTATGTGTTGGCCAATGTACAGCTTGCTCCATGCATATTATCTAGAGTTCTCAAAATAACTCCACCAAGTAGGTATTATTTGTTTTTTAAAGATTTTATTTATTTATTCATGAGAGACACAGAAAGAGGCAGAGACACAGACAGAGAAGCAGGTTCCCTGCAGGGAGCCTGATGCGGGACTCGATCCCAGGACCCTGGGCCCAAGGCTCAATGGCTGAGCCACCCAGGCGCCCCCCAAGTAGGCATTATTGCTCCCAGTGTGAGCCTCAAAATACTTAATGACTGATACAGTTTGGGTGCTGACCAATCAGAATGAACACTGCCTGCAGACGGGGTGCCAGAGGGCCGAGGAGGAGCCCCAGCTATTCCATTGAGCAGGTGACAAGGGGAAGATTTGGAGGGATTAGGCTAGTTGTCTAGACGCTCATGCAGCTGGCAAACGGGGGATCAGGGTGACTCAGCACTATGCTGGCTGTGGCCACTCCCGGGGAGCTCTCCGCAGAGGGTGCCCGCATTTCTCTGTGTCCGTGAGCCTTCGAGGGTGCCCCATCATAACCCACCCACCTCCAGGCCTGCCGCGCACGGGGCTGCCCGCGTCTCGAGGTCCCTGTGCCCGCTGGCTGCTCTCAAGGCTGCCCCAGACCTTGGTGCAAGGGCCTCGCACACCGGCCCCTCTGGCTCCCATCCCACAGTATTGCAGAGTTTCTGAATCGGGACCTTGCCCCAGGCCCCGAGCTGTCTTTCCCAAAGGATTTATCTGGATCTTTGGGGTCCTTTGCCGCCATCCACGAATTTGACCTGCCCTGGTTGTCTAGGTCAGGTGTGTGCTCCTTCCTCTATTTGATCTCATCTTGAGTCTTGGACTTGAGCCTGATTATCCATCATGAAGCACCTAATACCAAACAGTGTTTTCTAGGCTCCGCTCCTAGGCCCAGTCCATTCTTGGAATTACTTCCCACTGACCTCCTCTTCCCATTCCAAGCGCACCTCAGTCTCAGGGCGCCCCACATTCTTTGGCCCCATACCCTGCTGCGCTCACTGGGACTAGAACCAATGTTTGTAGTATAAGCAGAACATTCGTTGCTCTGGGGGAAAATTTGAAGGATAATTAGTGCTCTGTTGACAAACGATAAGCTATTTTTTACGTGCCTTTTGTTTGATATGCACCAAATGTTGTATTTCCGTTTCTGGGTTTTGCTGAGTGTGCACATTTCAGGCCCTCCTTGACCTTGGAATACGGGGCGCCTCCCCTCCGTGGCTCCAAGGTTTCCAATCCGAGGGGAGGTCCTGACCACTCCCCTTTTGCACCGTAAATGAAATGACAGCGAGCACATCAGCTCTGCCCTTTAGAAAAACTGCCTAGGGACACAAAGGTGTCATAGTCACCTGTAAAACACCCGGGCCGAGCTGTGGGTTCCAGGTCGGCGTGAGGGCTGCTCTGTGGAAGGACAGCTTTCCCACCCGGTGCTGCTCTCCTTGACACCCAGACAGTAAGAAGCATCTGGAAACGGCAGTGTGGGTCCTGAACCGGGTGCTCAAAAGTGGGTCAAGGCTGCCCAACGCCAGACTTGCAGTCCTTGGTCCCCCGGCAAATATTTACAGAGCACAACGTCGGCGATGGGCCCTCGCCTGGACGTGAGAGCCGGCATCGGGGAACAGGCTTGGCTGCCGGCCGCAGGGACCCCCGGGAGCCAGCCTTCGGCCCCCACCCCTGAGTGTCATCCGGGACCAACAGGCAGTGGCATGAGCTGCCGGCCTGGAAACGTGCAGCCCTGATGCTGACGCGCCCGGGAATCAGACCCAGGGAGCCCCCGGAAACAGTGCAGGTGAACCTCAGCTGCCGGAACCTGCTCTGCACGTGTCAAAGGCCTTGGTCTCTTCTGGCCGGGAAAATGTTGAGAAAAATTCATTAAAACAGGAACCAGACCGACACACAGTCCTGTACTTAACATTAAACCTAGGATCCGGGCGCCCTGGGGGCTCAGTGGTCGCGTGCCTGCCTTCGGCCCAGGGCGTGACCCCAGGGTCCTGGGATCGAGTCCCACATCGGGCTCCCCGCAGGGAGCCTGCTTCTCCCTCTGCCTGGGTCTCTGCCTCTCTCCCTGTGTCTCTCAGGAATAAATAAATAAAATATTTAAAAATAAAATAAACTAAAATAAATAAATAAATAAATAAATAAATACATAAACAAACCTAGGATCTGTGCTTCAGAGACCATTTTCGAGAAGGCTTGATCTCGCTGGGATGGATCCCTGGGACCACCGCTAAGATCTCTGAATGCTCAGCAAGTAAATGCAATGTTTGCTCAAGTTAGTGCTACCTCAGAGTATAAGATGCTCCTCTTTCCCCTACACTCCTTCTTCCCACAAGGTAATCTATTCCAAAGCTTATTGTCTTTGGTTCCAGGAGGCAAAGTTTCCCACTGAACTCTTTCAACCTTTTGAACTTACTGCCATCTGCCTTCTGCGAAGAATTATCTGAATATTGCTCTTGAAAGGGATTATTTGAACATTCTAAAAGTTGGCTGTCTGGGGCCTTGTTAAAACACACACACACACACACACCTTTAAATTCTAGTTCTTCCATGAAATGACTGCCTATTTATCACTGTCATTTATTTACTTTAAAATAACTATAATTTCTTGAAGACAAGGAGGCTTATGTTAGAAACAGGATGATTAATGGCTTATTTTAGTTCTGCTGACTGAAACACTGTCAATTCCTGTTTCTGAGGGGCACATGGACAGAGATGGAAGCCTTCCTTTTCTTTTGCATTCTGCCCATTTCGTAGCCCAGAGTCAGAGAATGGAGGTGGATTGATTTCTATCCGGTCCCATGAAAATCCCAGCCTGTCTACTGTCCAGCCAGTCGTTTTGAGTTCCTGCGCTGGGAGGTGACTCAACATGTTGCCAGGGGATTTAGTGTTCCATCTGCCTCCCTTTACACCTGGCTCACAAGGAGCTTCGGTATCCACAGCGAGCCTGGAAGCGTAGGTTGGCCCGGGGCGCAGCTCACTGGACCAGAGTCCCTGTCACTGATGTAGCTGCTCCTCTCAGAACTGGTTTACCAGGCGCCCTGGGTGGCTCAGCGGCGGAGCATCTGCCTTCGTTCGGCTCAGGGCGTGACCCCGGGGTCCAAGATCGAGTCCCACATCGGGCTCCCTGCAGGGCCCTTGCTTCTCCCTCTGCCTGTGTCTCTGCCTCTCTGTATCTCTCATGAATAAATAAATAAAATCTTTTTTAACAATTGTGGAAAAAAAAAAAAAAGAACTGGTCTACCACTTGGTTGAAGAACATACTTCAGCAGGAAGGTACTTGGTTCTATAGCGGGAACCTCTCAGAGGCGCACAACTGCGTCTAATCTGAATCTCAAACCCAGGAGCCTCTGGTGTGCGGTGGGATCTGGATGTGGGGCAGTGTGGGCCCAGGGCCTCATGAAGCCTGCTGGCATTCCTTCTAGAGTCAAGGGCTCACAAAAGCCTCACGTTCAACTGTAGCAAGCACCGTAGAGGAAGCCCTGTTCCCATGTTCTAGAAATGAAAGCTATGCACACCCTTTTAAAGTTATTGGCAAATTGCTGTCCATAGAAAAATTATTTTCACCACATAATTCAAGGTTTCCCATTTCTAAACTCAGATCATCGTCTTGCTGTACATTCAAGTGATTTAAGGATCAATTTATTAAAATGTGACTT